TTCCTTCATATATATATATATATATATGTTACTTATCTACTTTTGCACAAAGAGAGTAATTTGGACCAACGGGATTATCTTCATTGCATGATACGATCACTACAACAAAATTTATTATTACCGACAATTATTTAACGACAATAAATTGATTGCCTCTATTTTATGATTTAATAAAAATATTAATGACTAATATATAATGGCCACTAAAAATATACTTACATCACACTAAAATTTACTATTAGCGGTGATTATTTATTAAAAAAAACTTAAGTCTCACGTCAACTAGAAATAAGAAAATTAAAGAGTGATGATAACTCTCACCTTACAAGTTTGTTTTATAGGGTTAAGTTAGACCTCTAACTTACTATTCTAAGTTGATATTAGATTAATCATCATTACTAAACTCAATAGTGCTAATTAAAAAATAAGAAAATTAAAGAATATATAAGTAGAAGATAACCTTCATCTTACAAGTCCCACATCGATTAAAAATAAGATAATTAAAAAATATTATGAATCATTTCTTTAACTTTTAGTGACAATAACAAAAGATATTAAATGCCGATAAAAAATGCAACAAAATGTTTTACATTTTTGCCGATCATTATAAAGGTCTTTACCAACATATAGAATAATTACCGTTAAATGTTTTAACAATATTGCATACAATGGCTAATATGCAAATGCCGGTAAAAAGTTTTGTAGCAATTTTTATCACCACTAAAAGTCATATTAAATACCACTAAAAGTTCATTTTGTTATAGTAGATCGATTTAGAAAGAAAAGAAAAAAAAACTGGAGTGTCATAACACTAAGAATTCAATTGTATATTTACTTTAATCTCTTTTATAAAAATAAGTCTAAAATATTGTTTTTTTTCTCAAGTATTTTCTTTAAAATATTGTTATTTTTATATAAAAAATATTATTATTAGTTTTTTATAAAATAATTTAAAAATATTTTTTGGTTCTAATAATATATTAAGTCAATCCTGATAGAAACTTTTATGGTATAGCTCAAGCAATGTTTTGGAAAAAGTTTATGGACTCAAGCTTGTTGTCGTAAATAGATATAACCATGTTCAAGTCGAATCAAACTATAAGTTATAATCAAACTCATTGTGAAATGTTATTTAGATGTTTATCCGTATTTTTCTCCAATGACAAAGATTAAGAATCTTTAGCCTCTAAAATTCAAATTATCCTTTTTAAACATATATTTTTGGGAGACAAATCAAATGACAAATGGTCAAAGCATGAGTCACTTTATCTATTAAATAATAATGTTTTTAATTTCGCATTTTATTTTACGAACACTCCACTTATGAGAAATGTTTTTGTACCGTTATCCTTCTGGATTTTAAATTTATTTATTGTGGGGCCTTAGGCCCCTTGCATTAAAAAATATATTTTTTTTGTTACATATTACTCCTTTTAAATTTATATATAAAAAAGTACCTAAAATTTTTGGACTTTCGCAAATTTTAATTAATTTCATCTTCTTTAATGTTATGATTTCAGATTATTGTTTTTAATAATATTTATTAAGGATAGTTTAAAAAGTAATGTTTAGTTTTTACATGAAATTAATAAAATTAAATGTACTTAACTAATTTTTTAATGTATTTAAATTTAAATATTTTTATCTTATATGAGTGCAAATGAAATAATGTAAAATATTCGAAATTGAATTAAAATTTGCTGAGTAATTTTTCTATAAAAAAATGAAGATAAGAATCATCTAATAAAAAGTTTACTGTGTAATCCACTTTCAATTGGTTAGATGTAAAACTAAAACTCTTTTCAGAACGATTAAAAAAAAGAAGTAAAACGATGAATACTAGAAGGCCAGCACTGATAGAGGTGGCTGTACATATCCAAAATGCTGTGTTACCTACTTCCACGTCAATCCATATCGTCTTTTAGCCCTTAGTGGAAATTAATTAATGGGTCTAAATCATATTGATCAATTGAATTATGAACATTCCACTTCCATTTGTTTTTGAAAAATATCAGTATTATTTGTTTCAGTCAGTATTATTTTTAATTAACTATTGAGATATGATTTTATTTTTAAACTTAACATTGCATCTTGTTTAGAAAAAAGTTTAGAGATCACTCTATCCATTTAATAATAAATCTCGTGCAAGAAAAAACAATCTCAAAACGTGTGTCATTACATATTTTTAAATATTTAAGATAATATTGATTAGTTCTTTATTTATATCCTCATAATATTAATTGAAAAGGTTATTACTGTGTTACATTTAAAAAAAATGAATACTATATTAATTTTTTATGTATCTCTTGGTAATAAAGAGAAATAAATATAAAATGAATATTTTTTTCCTACATTGCCCATTTTATACATAATATCAAATTTGAATCCTAAACAATTTTATTAAAACATACAAATCACTAATATTTATGTTGAGAAATTTTACATAATTAATATATAAGAAAAATCAAGCTAACATGTTGCATGTTCATATATATATAATCAAGTGAGAGGAAATTTATTATGAGAAATGAGAGGGTGAAAATATAATATTTAAATTAATTTTTTCTCACTTGATATGCTGAAATTTGGGAATTTATAAAATTAATTTTTCATAATAAATTTTATCTCACTTGATACGTTTATATATATATGTGAGGGATCTAAAGTAAGTCTACCTGAATTTACTCTGTTCAATAACTCGTATTTTACATTAAATTTCAACAATCCAACCGTTGAATTTGAATTTAAAGTTCTTAATGCATAGATCAAATTTACAAAAATTAAAAGTTATTTGATACGTTAGTTTGATTAATTCAAATCAATGTATAAAATAATTTTTATGATTATCCGTTAATTTGAATTAATGAAACGAAGTATCAAATGATTTTTACATTTTTTAAAAATTTGCAGACTTGATCTATGTATTAAGAACTTTAATTTCAATGATTGGAATGTTAAAATTTAATGTAGAACATGAGTTATTAAATGAAATAATTATAGGTAGACTTACTCTTGAAATAAACGAATTCCCAAATTTCAGTGTATGAAATGAAAGAAAATTAATTTGAAGATTATATTTTAACCCTCTCATCTCTCATAATAAATTTCCTTTCACTTGATATGCTTCTTATATATATATATATATATATATATGAACATGTAACATGTTAGCTTGATTTTTCTTATATATTACTTATGTAAAATTTATCTCATAAATAGTGACGGACATAAGTATTAGTGATTTGTATCTTTTAATAAAGTTGTTTAAGATTCAAATTTTGATAGGCAATGCAGGAAAAAAATATTTATATAAACTAAGCTAACATGTTCATATTATGAATATTTATATACATGAACACTTATCATACAAATATTAAAAATATATAATACAAATAAATAAATAATAAATATCTCATGTAAAAAAATTTGATAATAAGTATAATACAAGTTATAACAACACATAATTTTTAGTTGATTTTACAAGGTAAACCGAATGTGCATACTCGTTGAATTATTTATAATTTATAATGAATATATCATGTTTAAAATGTTTTATTAATTTACAATGTTTCAAGTTAAATCTACATTCTTCAATTCAGGTGTCTTTGAAATGATCATCGGTACTTGCGTTCCTATATATCAAGCCCAGTTTAACGGATAGGTCAACATTCCTTTTAAAAAAAAGTTATTTTATATTAATATTTATATAAAATTTCAAACTTCTATACCTTAATAGCTTTTTTTTTTTTACATTTTCAATTTTTTTAAAAAATATTTATCTCAAAAAATATTTATATATAATTATTTTTTTAAAAAAACCATCTCTAAGATATTTTTTATTAAAATATATTATTATTAATTTTAAAAAGTATCACCATAAGATTTGTTTTAAATCTAATAATATGTTGGGTCGGTCTTATTATATATAAGATTCAAATTTTTAATTCATTAAATTTAAAAAAAGTAATTTATCTAGTTGATAACAATAAATTCGTCTTATTTATA